CCCCCCAATTACGAACAAGCAGTCGTATTCATCTCTGGCATTAAATATGCCCTGTGTGTCTGTTGTAAAAGTTTAGAGAAGCTCATACTCTCCCCTTCCACTTATTTATGTAAAATGTTGTAATGAATATGTTGGCTGTGGTCTCATTGGCCACCACATTTAGTGCATCCACTAATCAGTCCATCTGCTTTTTGGTGGCCCCCCACCATCTCAGTTTGCCATGCTTGACTGTAAAGTGTCGAGTGAGTTGCTGCCTTGCTCGTGTATTTCCATATCTTACACGATGCCGGGCGGCTCCTGACTCATTGAATCGTCTCCCCTGCCCCATGTCACCCACCCGGACCTCCTCTTAAGTGAATCAGTGTCTCTAATTTGCCCATAACTATAACTGTGTGTGGGCCCTGTGATGGACTGGCGTCCCAGTCTGTTACCTCAGCCTTGCGATCTGTGCTGCCTCCTCTGACCCCGACCAGGATAAGTGGGTGGAAGATTAATAGTAGCGTTGGTGGTTTTTAATAATTTCAGATAGAGTGGAATCTTATGACAAATAGTATGTAGAAATATTCAAGGCACATTTTTGAGACTGAATGTAATGATGCTTCACCTTCTCACTCAGGGGTTAAGCTGCAGTAATTGCTATAAAAACCAGCACTGCTCCCCGCCCCCCCCCCCAATCTTTTCCTGTGAGAAGCAAACATTCATAAAGGGTTCCATCCTTTTGGAATGAATCACAGCTTGCCTGGCAGTTACTCCTGAGCTGTGGAACTTTATCAGACCAAAGGTGCCACCTTCAGGTCCATCCTTCATAGCTGCTCACTCATTTGCCCTTCGCTTAGTGACACCCGTACGGCCGGAGAAGACTAACGAGCGTCCGACCGGCTGCCTTGCGACCGCATTTCATCAATTATGTGAAGATAAAATGTGTTTCAGGGTGTCTCATTGTCCTGGTAGCAGTAAAACACGGCCTCGAGTCGGGCGGTGCTCGGAATACTCTCTCTGTTAATGAGCGACGTGGCATCGGCAGACCTGTGCCTGACGTGGATGGTCTTCCAGGACTCAACGCCGCTCAGCGCCATGACCCCCGCCAGGTACCGGCCCAATTGGGAGCTGTCCCTGGACCCGCTGGTGACCTGCAAGCTGTGCCTTGGAGAGTTTCCCATGGAGCAGATGACCGCCATCAGCCAGTGCCAGTGTGTGTTCTGCACCCCGGTAAGTGGTCCTGTGGTAATGGGAGACCCAGCAAGAGCATCTCATAGAGGGCGTTTTGTTCACGTGTGGCTGTCATAAACAGAGAAACGTTGACTACCGATATTTATACAGCAAAAAGCATGGATCAGCAGCCTAACCCATTACAGTGTTTTATTTTTATCTCTGTGGACAGTTCTCTCCAAATGCACAAAACGTGTTATAACTAAAGCTATAAGATGCATGGGTGGAGTTTAGCCCACCCCCAGTCATTTGAATTGATAGGTATTGTGCACGGAGTTAGCTATTTTTGTTAGTTGTTTGAATGCAGTTGATTACCGTCAAGTAAACAACTGCATTATGTGCGCATCATATATGTGCATTAACACACAAGGTAAGATGCGTAAACATCACATTCCCCCTATGATCGCACCTCTGTACACTGTCCTTTCCCATCTCTCTGTCACCTTCGTAATCACTTACCCTCCTCTGCAGTCACAGGATTCACTGTCTTTGTGTTTTACATTTCCCCGTTGGAAGTGTACATGAGCAAATTGCACAGTGGAGACTGTGGTCCTTGAATTTCAATTGGTTGATCATCTTAGCGGGTAGTTCTGCAGCTTGTTCCCACAAGGGTTTGCTGTCTAGTGGTCTCCACCCCAGAAGCATGCAGGAAATGCTCATCCTTCCATATGAATGGCGGTGCACTATAGCTGACGTTCAGTTCAAACTTTCATTTCTTATTTGAATAAGTAGATCATTTTGTGTGGGAATTCGCTTCACTTGGGACACACAGTGTGACAGTTTGTATTATTGTTTCTGTGTCCCTGTAGTGCCTAAAACAGTATGTGGAACTTTTGATCAAAGAAGGCCTTGAAACTGCCATTAGCTGTCCAGATTCTGCTTGTCCAAAACGAGGACATCTTCTGGAAAATGAGGTATTACTATTAATTATTATTATCATTATCTATTTATTAGATAAGGCTATGTTTCAATGTCAGTGTTCCTGCCTGCTGCATTGCCTGTGTTTTTTCTGACATGCTCTCTCTTGCCTTGCTTGCAGATCGAATGCATGGTTCCTGGTGAGACTATGCAGCAGTTCAGGAAACTGCAGTTTGAGAGGGGTAGGTATGTTTCTGTGGCGACCCCTTTGTCTCCAGGTCCTGTCCGGGTCATGACCTCATGCCGTCAGGCTCTTTACAGACAGCTGTCACCCCGGGTGGCCCCCGGCCCACTCGTCCCGTGTCGCTTTCCTGCTTGGGGCTGCGCCTCCATGCCTCCTAACCTCATGTGTAATGGAGGCCTTCAGTCCAAACCTGCCCCCTAACCTTTCAAGGAATATGATTCAGAATTACCCAAAATGCACTGTCGTCCCTCTTGCAACCTAAGCATGTTGACGCTACATACATACATGCATGCATGCATACATACATGCATGCATGCATACATACATGCATGCATGCATACATACATGCATACATACATACATACATGCATACATACATACATACATACATACATACATACATACATACATACAGCGCCCTCTTCGGCTAGCAGAGCCTCATGCAGCAAAAAAATGTGCTTATTAATGACAAGGTGATATTGTCCCGGCTTGACCTGTTTTACAGGAGAAATTCTAAGTGATTTCAGCCATATTCTTCATTTCAGGTTTCGGAATGCCTCCGTGTCTTGCAAATGATACACAGATTATATGATTATCAAGCAGGTGTTTACTCAGGAAGTAAAACGCCACCTGTTATCATAGTGTATGTCAACAATACAGTGGTTTGTCGTCTGTGAAAACATAAAGTAATGGCTTAATGGTGTTTTAAAGGGGATTGGGTGTATTCTTCATAATCCTCAGTGTGATTTTAGAACAATGCCAGTCGTAAAACTCACTGACGGGAGATGCTTGGTGCTGCTAGTGCAGGTCGGGTAGCTTTGCCTCTCTGTAGCAGGGACCATGCAACTATTACCAGTTACAGAGTATATAGTTTCCCCTTTTTGGATGAGCACAGTGTACAAATTCGTTTTCTGGTACAAGATGTTCACTGAATTGCAGTCTTGCCAGTTTAGTGCCAATGAGTAACGTCCATTTTTTTTTTGGTGTTCCAGAGGTTCTGCTAGACCCGTGCCGGACCTGGTGCCCGTCGTCATCCTGCCAGGCGGTGTGCCACCTCATAGAGGCCCCTGGGGCACAATCTGTCCGCTGCTCTGCCTGCAGCCTGGAGTTCTGCTCCGCGTGCCGCACAACCTGGCATCCGGGGCAGGTGTGCAAGGAGAACCTGCCAGTCAGCGCCTTACTGCCCGGGGACACCAGGTGGGGGCGCCCTCGTCGCTGCTCTGAAGTGACAGACCGGACCCTGAGCAGGCAACATGCTTAGTGTCAGAGTGCTTTTCTTAATGTCACCTGAAAATGTTGGAAGTTGATACAGTATCAGTCTTGCGTCGTCTTCTGACATCTGCAAAGGTCAAAGTGCAAAGCTGCCAATTAACGATTCCAGCTCTGGGCCTTAATCCGCATTATCGGGCCGTCTAAAGTATGAGGATCACCTTAACCTTCACACCACAGTACAGAGATCTGTTGGCATTCCCTGGGCTGTCCTCTCGTTCTACGCATACTCTCGCTGGCCTGCACACATGTAAGGAAGGTGACCGGCCTCTAGGTGGCAGTAAGCTACACTCAGACATATGATGGTGCCCCAGTCTTCACTCATCAGGGAATGTTATGTTCCTGTTGGGGCACATTCCTTCAGAAAGTACGGTTTTGTTTGGGCGGCTGGGGACCCGTGACATGACCCTCCCCCCAGGAATGATCCTGGGGTAAAGGTGTTTTATGTCTGCTGCACTTATTCAACCCTCAAATACTGCCTTATATAGCTATCATCCTGAAAACTGTCATCGTTAGTATCCCAGTTAATTTCCCTGTGTTTCTGTGTCTGTGTCACCCTCCTGGCTTCCTGAGTGACTCATGTTCTGTAATGATTGATGCCAACTGACAGCACCTTGCTAAATGATAATTTAGGGAAATCAGTTTGCAAATGACCCCCCCCCCCCCCACAGCAATCCCTTTTACAAGACTGAGGAGGACACGCCCATCAAGCGCTGCCCCAGGTGCAAGGTGTATATCGAGCGCGACGAGGGCTGCGCCCAAATGATGTGCAAGAACTGCAAGCACGCCTTCTGCTGGTACTGTCTGGAATCGCTGGATGTGAGTGGCCACATCTCTGCTGACTGGCTGGCTAGGGCCATGTGACGTTCTCTCTCAGCCCACGGAGAGAAGACCCTTCCGTCTGTAACCTACTTACTGCATCACATGACTAGCAATGTTGGTGTGGAGATTAAGCCAACCGTCTGAAGTACTATGGCTCAGTGGGTTGGGATGCTGTACTTGTGATCAGAAGGTCGCTAGTTTAAATCCCCTGGTCAGCAGTATGATCTCACCATTTGGCCTTTAAGCAAGGCCCTTAACCCCAACTGCTCCAGGGACATTTTGACCCCGATTCCTCAAAAATGTGCGTCACTTTGGCTAAAACCATCTGCCGAATACATGTAGACTGTGCCTTGTGGGTGTTGGGTCTGTTCACATCCTCCCCCCGCACGACCGCCCAGAGACTGACATGGTGCTTTTCTCGCTGCAGGATGACTTCCTCCTTATACACTACGACAAGGGGCCGTGTCGTAACAAGCTGGGCCATTCCCGCGCCTCGGTCATCTGGCACCGAACGCAGGTGGGTTGGGGGACGCCCCCAGAACAGCGCCCTCTGTCTGTGTGCCAAAGGGCTGATTGCCTGGCTCTCCTCCTCTCGCTCCTCCTCGCCCTGGGACGGTGACGAGGCCTGCCTCCCGCTGGGTCGGCCTGCTGCCCCGTTTGCCCTGGCTCGACCCTGCACTCTCTGTCCCACACCGTTCCTGTCTGGGGCGTGTTTTCTCATAAGGCACGGGGCCCCAGTCATGGCTTAAGAGGGTGGCCTTCCTGTCATTCTGGGTTCTCGCCTCAGCAGTTTTGCTTCCTGTGGAAACCCACGTCTAATCAAACACAGAGATGGCCTCACCTCTGGAGATTAAACAAGCAGTAGATAAGCAAAAACCATTTCAGTATTTCACATCATTTGGATCTGTAGCAGTCATGTGACTCAGGGACGTGTCTATGATTGGTGGCCCTCTGGCCTTATTGATGACAGAAGCACAGATAACATTTTTGTAAAGTTTTCTGAGTCACTGCTGCCCCCTACTGGAAGTCTCTGTGCTCTGACACAGTGCTATCTGTGCAATACGCTTGAGCCGGTTTTTCTGACACACATGTACACGCTTGCATTTTTGCGTTTGTGTTTTCATTATTAGCCCTCAAAGGAGAACACCGCATGCTGTTCCCGTCACCGGCCACGCAGTCTGTTGCTGGAGTTTTTCTGCAGCAAGCCTCTCGGGGCCTGTGCGGGTATAGAGTGGTGCAGAGGGAGGCACGCTGCAGGTGTGAGCCCTGTGCGTCATTCGGGGCGGGGCTCTGCCCAGGTCACCTGGAGACGGAGCTCAGCAGAGACACTGGCAGACCCTCAGTCCTATGCTAATAACTAATGACTTGTTCTCTCTCTCTCTCTCTCTC